AAAAATAACAGGCTTATTTAATATATATTTTAATTGTTTTTAGATATTTATTGTATAGTTCCGTTTTTATTGCCTGTAAGCCGCCCTGAGTCCTTCGGGAGAAGGGCGGGGTATAAATTAAAGTAATAATAATAATAATAATAATAATAATAATAATAATAATAATAATAATAATAATAATAATAATAATAATAATAATAATAATAATAATAATAATAATAATAATAATAATGAGAACGCTGTGGGATTAAAAATGAAAAAAAAACCACCTTAAAAGTGAAGGGCTTTTGATGACTTAGTCTTGGTTCTGTAAGATTCCTTAAAGCAAACTGAAATAATAGGGAAATAGAAAGAATGTGGTCCATTAGCAGATTTTAAGAATAATAAACAGAAGACGAAGTTGTTAATAGAAATATAGACTAGAAGATAAAACAGAACTGATGAATAAAATGGGTTTTAAGACTGAGAAGAAGGTAAAATGGGTATGATTGGGACAAATATGAACCGTAAGTTACTTCAAAATTATGATATGAAGTGAACTTGAAGATATATGGACTTCAACTCAAAATATTTTGGGAAGTTAAGTCTAGACATCTTCAGATTGAAACACTGTTCTGAGGAATTAACCCTTCAAAAGGAGACCTACCACATTATTCTCTTGACCAGAGACCACGCAGAGTCCAGATGCTGCCATGTACGTGCTCCCAATAGTTTTGATTTTTTCGACCCCACTAAATTTAGGCTTTAGCAGCAGCTGTTGAGGAAAAAAAATGTATAGTATTTAGGAGCTGTCCATTCTCTCACTTTATAGTTGTATGAAAGGCCACGTTTTCTGGAAAAATGAGCCAACTCAAGTTGAGTGTCTGCAGATACTGAATTCGGTCTAATATTTTCAATTTTTTGCAGATCTCTAAGGATAGAATGTATGTGATTAATCTGCATAACTTGAGGTTCAGTGTAATGCTTTCAACTCTCAAAATGCCGATAGACAAGCCACGCTTTTTAATTTGTCACTTTTCAATTACTGAAGGCTACCAATTCAACGTGAACTGTTCTGCTAAAGTAATAAAATTAAAACTGTACAATATTCTGGCTTAATATAGGAAGTCTTCAGCTATTTTTGATCATAAATTTTAGCCCAATATTGTAATAGCTTTCGAAGAAAAGTCAGAAGAATCAGCTCCCTTGTTCTTCCAATCTGAAGATGCAAATAATGGAATCTGGAGCTGTTCTGTGGTACAAATATTATATGGTACAAATGAGTTGTGTTCCTTCCCTACCACTGTTCCCAGCTGCTTCCTTCTTTAAATTTTATCAGGTCCAAAAATAATAACAAACCCTGTCAATCAAACTTGACTCCTAGTGATCTCATTGACACAACCATTTATTTTTTCTTGGCAACAGTTTTTTCTGCCAGATTGTTGTTCAGTTTTCCAGTCAAGTCTACAACTCTGGCAGTGTCCTATTCTGTTACAGATAGTTCCCAACTCACAGCAGTTTGTTTAATGACATTCAAAGTGACAAGGGCACTGAAAAAAGTGGCTTATGACCCTTTTTCACACCATTGTAGCATTCCCACCACTGTATGGTCAAAATTCTGATGCTTGGCAACCGACCCATATTTAGGACGGTTGCAGTGTCCTGGGGTCATGTGATCACTTTTTTGTGACCTTCTCACAAGCAAAGTCAATGGGGAAACCAGATTCACTTAACAACCATGTCACTCTTATCAAATACAGTGATTCACTTAACAACTGTGGCAAGAAAGGTCGTAAAATGGGGCAAAACTCACTTAACAAGTGTCTTGCTTAGCAACAGAATTTTTGGGCTCAGCTGTGGTTATAAGTCAAAGACTATCTGTACTAACCAGGCTTGATCTTTCTAGGGTTTCCAGTTCAGACAAGGTTAGCTTGGGCCAAGTCACACCCATCATTCACCAACTTTCACAACCTCATGTAGGAATTGGGTGTACCTTTCATTAACCTCTGTTTCAGGTGGAGTCTATTAAGAGTGAAGCATGGCTAAATTACATGGGTGAACAAGCCCTGCTAAATATTTGAGGAGAAGATTCATCCGAGTTCTCAAGTAGTCAATCGACATAGGCAGAGCAAGCATTTCTCAACGTTGGCAACTTGGAAGGCGTGTGGACTCCCAAGAATTCCCCAGCCAGCACGTTGAAGTCCACATCTTCAAGCTGCCAAGGTTGAGGAACAGTGAACCCAGAGGGCTGCAGAAGCCAAAGTCAACAAGGAGATACCTCATCAAAATCAGCAATGATCTCATTCAGGAGACGAAGACATTCCAGTCCTTCCTTGTTGACGTCGCACTCGGTGTAAAATACCTTGAAGTCGGGGACTGAGGCAAACATGACACACACGGAGTCGTAAGATTGATGATACCAGTCCTGGGAGGACATGTAACAATAGGTTCATGAACAATCGCTTTCAGCGTAATGCTCGACTCCCACCCACCTCTCTCCGCCCACCCCTTTTAACCAAGGCAACAATGACACGCAAAGTTCCTCTCTAGTAAGTCAACCAAAATTGCAGAAGTCAAAAATTAGGTGCTATACAAAGGAGCCTGCCACGCCGACCTGCATTAAGGGGGTGCTATTCTTTTCTTTACTTTTCTTTTTTTTAAAACAATTTTATTGATTTTTCCATTTTTGCGCCCAGAAGCTTAAGAGCCAACGTGGAAATAGGGTAATCAATTGAATACAATAACATCATAAATATACAGCTCACATAATACTCCTTAAAATTTCCTTCTCTATCAATTAACATGATATAGTCAAATTAATACATTTCTAGATAAAATGCATTCATTAATATGTTCCTAAATAAAAATTCCATTAATCAATAAAGGTTACCTGCAACCCATTACTTATATAAATCAAAGTCCTGTTTTCAGCTATTATTAATTTCCAAATACTGTATCCAACTTAGCGTTAAACAAACATATTATTTACCATTTGGATGTCCCTAACTTCTCTTATTTAAGCATATTATTTCCATCATTACATTCTTACAGTTCTTAACCATATTCTGTTTCCTCTTCAGTAATTCTTCGTTTATTAATTTCATCTCTTCCATTATTACACTCTTTTTCTCATTATATGCTACTCTTTTCTTGTGTCAGCCAGCCTGCCCATATTTCTTCCAATGTTTCATTCATTTGCCATTTGTGTGTGTGTGTGTGTGTGTGTGTGTGTGATGCCTCTTTTGTCACTCCTAAGAATCTATAGTGCACAACGAGCCCTTGAGAAGTAACTCCCTAAGATTAATACCATTCTTGCTTAACTTGGAGTTGTCCAAGGGAGCTTTTTCAAGAGGCAACGGGACTTTCTTGATTGTCTTTGAAGACGTTTCGTTTCTCATCCAAGAAGCTTCTTCAGCTCTGACTGGAATGGTGGGGAATTGAAGGATTTATAGCTGTCCTTGCAGACAGCTGGTCTTTTGCCTTCTTTTAGAGACTCATTCAGGCCACTTGGAGGTTTACCTATGTCCTCAGGGTCATCTGAGTGGTGCAAATGGGTGTGGAACATTCTTGAAACTGCTGAAAGTACTCTGTTGTAGAAACATCTATCTAGATGATGTCGTATCCCTCCCCTTCTGTTGAGAGAGGGCTGTTCTGTTTTGACCTAGATGGCCTCTTTGACCCCTCTTTCAAACCAGCGGTCCTCTCTGTCCAAAATATGGACTTTGCTGTCTTCGAAAGAGCTGCTGAATCTTGTCCTGATGGGTTCATGCGTTTGTGAAGTGGTTTGTTTTGTTTCCCCAATGTACAGATATGCACATATCTCAGTGCATTGTACTGCATACACCGCATTGCTCAGTTTGTGTCTGGGTGTTTTATCCTTGGGGTGGACAAGCTTCTGCCTTAGTGTATTCTTGGGTTTAAAGAGTGCGCACATGTTCTGTTGGCTGAAGATCCTTCTGAGCTTTTCAGATATTCAGATACTGGAGTTCTACAGGATTATGATGATAAATTTTATTTATGTAGCATCTCCCTCAAAAGAGCCCTCCATGGCTTAGGATCCATAGTTGTGGATGAGGTGACATTCCAATAACCATATAATGATTTACATAGTTTTGGCTTAGCATGCGGTGTGAATCCAGGTCCTGTGGCTTGTGAATCATGGCTTATGACTTACTGTTATACCTAAACAAAATCAAGGTGACTTAATCAAGGAGCCAGGCTTAATGTGTTGTATGAACCAGCCACTAGGAATGGGTTTTCTACCAATACCTAGGATTCTTTCTTTTTAATTTGAGGGCAACTTCAGTGAATGACCTCTTCAAGGTCAATCGAAGCGCTACCAGCACCTTCAACCAAGCTTCTGCTATGTAACATTACAGTGAACTTTTCCATACCTCGTTTAACTTGTCCCCAATAAAATGGGCCGCCACATGAGCTGGGAGGACATTTTCAAGCAGTAGCCTGTTTACATTCTCCATGGTTTCAAATGACTCATGTTCCTTTTTGAATTTGTTTTTCTGTAGGCAATCCAGCCGACAATAATAGTCTATCTGCAAACAAACAAGGAGTCAGGAATTAGTTCCCAAAAACTATCAGCAACAAAGTTTATCCCATACTGATGTTGCAAAGATTAGAAAATAATTGATTTATGACAGTAATTGATTTATGCAATGACCTTAATCCAGTTGACTTTGCATGTTTCAGTGATTCCTATAAATTTTACTTTTAAGTAGACATGCATGTCTATCTGCCTGCCTGCCTGCCTGCCTGCCTGCCTTTCTATCTATCTATCTATCTATCTATCTATCTATCTATCTATCTATCTATCTATCTATCTATCTATCTATCTATCTATCCATCCATCCATCCATCCATCCATCCATCCATCCATATCTACCTACCTACCTACCTACCTACCTACCTACCTACCTACCTACCTATCTATCTATCTATCTATCTATCTATCTATCTATCTATCTATCTATCTATCTATCTATCTATTTATCTATCTCTATCTAATTTACAGAGCCACCCATTTCATGAGCAAGTGACTCTGGACAGCATATAACAAAACTAAAACAATAAATCGTGCTTCTAAAGTGGGCAAGGCATTGTATTTTCTTAACAACAACAACAACACAAAATGGTTCATTTCCACTTTTTGGCACTTAAGCCTACCTGCCTAAATCACTGTTCATTCATTTTTCTGAATTGTAATGGCTGTAGATGGATAATTTGCCTTATTATATTTTAATATAAAAGGCCCAAATTTGTACAGACACGTATCTTGCACATGGGGATTTATGCTCAGATCCGCGCAGTCATAGCCACTTCACAGGCATAGAGCTCAAACAAGTAAAATTATTAACAAGAATAATATCAAGTGATTGCTAAGTCAATATGGACAGCCCAGAGCAATGCCTTGGGATAAACTATTAAAGGCAGTTTAAAATAGAAATGTGCTTTTCAGGGGAAAATTAGACTATGATGAATGCTTTATTTGTGTACCGAAGGGCTGGGGTTTGTTATTTTGGTTTTGTGTGCATCGCTACACAGGGATAATACATTTCCACTATTAGGAAGCAGATGCACCAAATGCACTAGTTGGAACTCCATCAGAAAATGACATTCTGGTGAAAAAGGAATCTGTTTGATTAATATCTTCCACTGTAACACCCCCATGGTTCAAAAGATTTGCTCTTGTCTTCTTCCAATGTAATTTTTGAGCATTAAAGTTGTGCGTTAAGAAAATAACGACAAAAGTCAACTGTGACATCACCATCCAGCTTTATGTTTGATCAACAATGACTTTCAATGAGCTGCTTCTACACGGAAGGTCTATTGAATCAACATCGTATTTTGTTGAGTTGTTCATCACACGGTATGTGCTACTCTGAGTTCAAATCATCACTCCTTGCTAATTACTTTGGCTATTCTATGGAAGAAAGTGCATTTCTACTAGCAGATTTCTGAGAATTTCAGAATTCTCAGACAAGATCACCAAAGACTGTTCTATCCTGGTGACGGTAGGAAAACTTTACAATATAGATAGACTATTTTCAAAGTTATAAAGGAGCTCTGTGTTTTAGTTTTTCATAGTTCAGTTTTTATTGTATACATTCTCGTTCGATACATTTGTTCTGTGAACAAACAACGATGACAATGACAGATGTAAAGAGCAATAATAATAATAATAATAATAATAATAATAATAATAATAATAATAATAGTAATAATAATGACTGATAGAAAGACACTTCTGGGTGTTGGGGTCAACTTTCCCAGTTACTGGGCTGAAAATTTGAGGAGACACAGACATAAGCCATACACGAATCCATACCTGCTTGGACAACAGAACCAGAGTTATATAAAAGAGTGCCAGGTACAAATTGATCATCACTGTGGGATTTTTTATAAAAAGCCTGAAGTAGAAAATAAAAGAACAAATTAGAACAATTACATGAAACACACATGTTTATGATTGAAAAAGTTCAAAAGTTTGAACTACAGAATGCATAAGAAAGAAAACTTGCACTAATATTTGTTAAAAGTATCTTCCTCAAGAGAAACAGTGAAGTGGCTTTCAGGAAGGGAGGGAGGGAGGGAAAGAAGGAAGGAAGGAAGATAGGAAGGAAGGAAGGGAAGAAGGAAGGAAGATAGGAAGGAAGAAAGGAAGGAAGGGGAAGGGAGGGAGGGAGGAAGGAAAGAAGCGAAGAAGGAAAGAATGAAGGAAGGGGAAGGAAGGGAGGGGGGAAGGAAGGAAGGAGAGACAAAGGAAGCATGTGTGTATGGGAGGGAAGGAGGGAGGGAGGGAGGGAGGGAGGGAGGAAGGAAGGAAGGAAGGAAGAAAAAGGAAAAAGGAAGGAAGGGGAAATGTGAGCTCATTTCAAACTTGTTAGAACATTCATTTCAGTGCTCAAAATAAAGTTTGTAAATAGAAGAAAGGCAAATGCTATTTATAAGAGTGACATCAAAGAAACAATCCAATTGCCCCTTATGGCATTTTTTATTTATTTTTTTATTTAATCCCATTTATTTTGTAGTACCCAGTCCAAAACAATATGCACCACCACAATATTTTCAATGGGAAATGGTCTCTTAAAATAGCCTGCATAGACCTGAATAACTTAATCTCTTCCACTATTACTTCATTATCGTTTTCATCCCACTCCACCCCACCTCACTCCACCCTTTGGCAAAGTTACTCATGAGATACAAGCTATTCCTACCTCTGCACACAGTCCGGGTCGCAGGTGACATACGGATTGCGGTTAAATATGACGAAATACCCCACGACGGCTCCCGAGAGCAGCATTAGCTTGAGTTCAAAACTCATTCGGAGGAACACAGAACACGCGATGAAGCTCAGGAGGCAGCAGTAGGCATAATACTGGTAGAAAAGAAGGATTTAAGCAAGAGTTAAGCAATTGTTTTCATGTCAGAGTACTAGCAGAGGTTCTGTTGTCCAAGCAGGTTACCCAGGGCTGGACCCAAATCCGTACTTTTAAAATATTACACCCCTCTCCACTCACCGGGTAGATCGTAATCATACTAGATGATCCATCTTCAGTATCTGAATGGTTTCCTGGCAGCTATTGTGTTTTTTTTTTGGGGGGGGGAGAGGGGAAAAACATAAATAATGATTGAGGTGATACAATGGGCTTCACACAAGAAAAACGGTGAGGAGACAACTTCACAAAAATACGCAAGAGGGCTGAAATACTTTTTAGTGCTAGGAAACAAGTTAGAAAGAGGCTCCTTCCTGACGTACTGAGGTAAAAGAAGGAGGGAAGATACAGGCCTTTGTTATTATATTTTATCTCCATAAAGTATAGTTCTAGTCTGCCTGTGTAAATGCTTTCCAGTCTGAACTATTCAGTGGGGCTGACAAAAAAAAAATCTATAGGCAATCCCCGGCTTATGACCATGATTGACCACAAAATCTCCATTTCTAAACAAGGAAGTCATTAAATGAGTTGTACCTCATTTCCTGCCCATTGTCATTAAGCAAATCACTGCATTTGGTAAGTAAATCATGCGGTCATGTTTTCATGTCAGACTACTGGAATTGGGTATGTCTAATTTAACGAAGAGAAGGATGAGGGGGACATGATAGCAGTGTTCCAATATCTCAGTGGCTGCTCCAAAGAAGAGGGAGTCAAGCTATTCTCCAAGGCGCCTGAAGGCAGGACAAGAAGCAACGGATGGAAACTCATCAGGGAGAGAAGCAAACTAGAACTAAGGAGAAACTTCCTGACAGTTAGAACAATTAACCAGTGGAACAACTTGCCTCCAGAAGCGGTGAATGCTCCAACACTGGAAGTTTTTAAGAAGAGACTGGACAACCATTTGTCTGAAATGGTATAGGGTTTCCTGCCTGAGCAGGGGGTTGGACTAGAGGACCTCCAAGGTCCCTTCCAATTTTTTATTATTATTATTATTATTATTATTATTATTATTATTATTATTATTATTATTATTATTATTATTATTATTATTATTATCATTATCATTATCATTATCATTATCATTATCATCATCATCATCATCATCATCATCATCATAGGGCTTATTATTACTATTATTTTAAAATATTGTGTGAGTCAAAATATAAACCAGGGGTGTCCAAACTTGGCAACTAAGACCTGTGGACTTCAACTCCCAGAATTCCTGCTTGTCGGAAGCCGGGTGAGAAGGTTACAAATGGTGATCACTCAAACCCAGGACAACGCAACTGTCATAAATACATGCCAGTTTCCAAGCGCCCAAATTTTGATCATGTGACCAGGGGGACGCTGCAACGGTTGTAAATGTGAAAAAAATAAGTCCCTTTTTTCCGTGCTGTGGTAGTAACTTCAATCTGTCACTAAATGAATGGTTATAATTTGAGGACTGCCTGTATAGATGACCCCCCCCCCAACAAAAAGTTATGCATGGGATGAATGTTTCAAAATAAACGTTTCCAATGGATTCAAACTCACTTTAATCATTCACATTCTGATTTTTTTAACCTGGCTTTTAGCCAAGAGCATCAACAGAATATAAATGCGACACAATCAAGGTCGGATCCAAAGAGAACAAGGTTCATTTGGAAATCTCCATCCTGCGATAAGCTCTTGTTTAAAAAAGGCAATTTGTGAGTAGCAGCAACAAATCTATTCTGCAGGAAGGAGATGGAAAAGCTAGATAAAGTCAGTGCAGCCTATAATCACAACATTATAGAGTATTTTCACCTTGTGATAAGAACCTGTTGAATAGCTCACACCTGCTATTAAACCCAAGCAATTATTCCTGCCAATAAAATCAAACTTTTACTCACTGGGTTGGAATTTGGTGAGGTACGTTGTCCACCAGGCTGGCTCACTAGCTAATGAAGACATTAAAAGCTGGTTAGGGAATATTCTGGTGGCAATTCAAAACACATACATTTATTAACAAAACAGTAAGAGTTTTCCAAAGAAAAAGAAGAACGATTGAAGCGACAGAAGGGTTGAACTGAAGAGGCTTCTTGGATGAGAAGCGAAACATTTTCAAAGAAAAAAATCCAAGATAGTCCAGTTGCCTTTTTGGGGGGGGGAAGCACCTTTGGGGTAAATTTTGCAACTTTTGAATTCTGGTGGTCCAGCTAATAAATTCTTGAAAAACTGACAACATGTTTAAAGTAAAAAAACCCATCATAATAACAACCTCATTTATTGTCATATCCATCTTATCTCTAAGTACTTTCCTATTCCCCAAGCCTGTCCATCTTCACTGAAACTTTTTGTGGTTTTCTCAGCTACTTTTTATTCTATAGCATGAATTCCCCAAGTTATGTGCATGCTCCTTGCTAGATTCAACTGTGGTTAGTGGTATCAAGCTTTTGGGTGTGCAGCTGATGAGCAGGTTAGTTTGGTTGCTCAACAGTGAGACACTGGTGAAGCAGACACCCAGTGCCTGCATTTTCTGCATCGTATGAGAAAAGCACATCTTCTTTCCCCTGTCCTCACCACTTTCTATAGAGGGAAGACTGAAAGCATCCTGTCATATTGTATTACTGTGTGGTTTGGAGGTATTACTGTTTCGGACAGGAAGGCTGTGCAGAGAGTGGTGAGGACAACAGAAAAGATCATTGGCAATTCACTTCCTTCTATCCAGGACGTGGCATGTAAGCGATGCTTGAGCAGGGTATGCTGTATTGTCTGGGACACTACACATCTTCTGCATGACCGGTTTTCTTTGTTACCTTCTGGGAGGGGGCTTTGCAGCATCCGAAGCAGAACAACTAGATTTTGTAATAGCTTTGTACCATATAATATCAACCTTGTTAACTCTCAAGACTCTTTTTTCTGCTATGTATTCTAAACAGTCTATGATTAATATATATTACGTGTGTGGGGGGGGTATCCAATTTTTTGGATTGCTAACAAAGAATTAAGGGAGATTGGGATAGCTATTTCGAGTTGATTAGCTCTCATCAGCCAGCCATACCCTTCTGAGATTCGAACCTGGGCTGCTTGCACGTTAGGCAGCTGTGTTGACCCTAAGCCACAGGCTCTTTCTCACTTTGTCATCTGTATCAGGGAGGGAAGAGACCAGGGAAGGAGATTTATCTTGAGCGTTTTGTTTTTTATGTATATGCATGTATGTGTGTATAGATATATAGATATAGATACAGATTATATATAGATATAGAGATTAGATATAGAGATTAGATATAGATATAGATTAGATATAGAGATAGATAGATAGATAGATAGATAGATAGATAGATAGATAGATAGATAGATAGATAGATAGATAGATAGATAGATAGATAGATAGATAGATAGATAGATAGATATAGAGATAGATTAGATATAGAGATAGATGATAGATAGATAATCTAGATATGGATATAGATTAGATATAGAGATAGAGATTAGATATAGATATAGATTAGATATAGAGATAGATGATAGATAGATAGATAGATAGATAGATAGATAGATAGATAGATAGATAGATAGCTAGATAGATAGATAGATAGATAGATAGATAGATAGATAGATAGATAGATAGATAGATAGATAGATAGATAGATAGATAGATAGATAGATAGATAGATAGATAGGGATATAAATATAGATAGATATAGATATAGATATCTTTTGAGAGTGGGCATCAGAATGTCATTTTTTAATGGGTGCCAGTGTGTTCACAGAAAAAAGTGATAATGTATCTTATCTCATCTTATCTCATCTCATCTTCTCATCTCATCTCATCTCATCTCATCTCATCTCTTCCCATCTCATCATATAAGGCCTTCCCATCAGCCATGATTGCAGATGGGGGCAAGCAGGGCCACGGCGTGCTCCCCCGTGAACATTCAACAGAAGGCATTACCAGGTTGAAAACAGCAAGGATCAGCAGCGAGCCGAGGGCAAGGATGGCCAGGGGAAGCCTGATGGAGGGCATCGTTTCCACTTTCTCAGAAAGCAGGCGGAAGTAGCGTGTTAGCGGCCATCGCTTTGCGCAGCATTTCTGCCAACGAAGAAGAAAGGTTTCAAGATGGCAAATCCCCCACCGGTAACACAGACGTTACATCACACCCATCACACGTGTCTGCAGTCCTGAGGATAATTAGGACCAGAAATGTGCTTTTTTTAAAAAAAGGCAACAGCAATTTGACTAGACCGCTGAAAGAACCAGGAATAATTTCCACAATTTGTTTGGATATGTCTGAAGCCTCCTCTATAATCTGATGAGCTTCCATTCAACTTCTATAATCCAATACTCACGACTCACGACCAGAATTCAACCCAACATTTCTGTCATTAAGTGAGACGGCTAAGTGAGCTTTGCTCCATTTTACGACCATTTTTGCCACAGTTGTTGAGTGAACCACAGCAGTTGTTAAGATAGTAACACAGTGGTGAATCTGGCTTCCCCGTTGACTTTGCTCGTCACATGACCCCAGGACACGGCAACTGTCAAAAGTATGAGTCAGTTGCCCAGTGTCTGAATTTTGATCATGTGACTGTTGGGATGCCACAACGTTTGTGTGCAAAATGGTCATATAAGTAATTTTTTTTTCAGTGCCATTGCAACTTTGAACAGCTAGTAAACGAACTGTTGTAAATTGAGAATTACTTGTGTTTCTTACTATTTCTTCCTTCTCCCTCCCCTTCTTTCTTCCTTTCGTGAGCTCCTTCTAGAGCAGTGGTTCTCAACCTGTGGGTCGGGACCCCATTTGGGGTCGATCAACCATTTCATGGGGGTCGCCAAGCAAGGCTGTCCGCCATTTTTTTTGTCCGCCATTTTTTTTGTCCGCCATTTTTTACCCCTTTTCCGGCGGGTGCCTTACCTCCCTTGGGCTGGGCCAGCTGGTGGTCGGCCTGCTCCGTCTCTGCCGCTTGCCAGCTACGCCTCGGCCGGCGCAGGGGGCAGAACCACGCATGCACGGCGCTCCCGGGCAGGGAAAGTCCTCGACTTACGACCAGTTGGGTAGTCCTCGACTTACGACCGGTTTAGTCCTCGACTTACGACCGGTTTAGTCCTCGACTTACGACCAGTTGGGGTCGCAGCATTAAAAAGGTTGAGAACCACTGTTCTAGATACCAAGTCAGAGACTCTTATTTTATGCAGTCTGTCTGGGATCGAAATCAGGCTAAAAATGACAATTGAGAGCCCAGCCCTTATAGCCACATGGCAGATAAAAATGACATGAATTCTAGCTCTGGATTCAGCCTAGCCAGGGCATATCACACATGGACTAGCAATATAAATTAACATTTCAGCTAGATTAGTAAAAGAAGGAGGAAGGAAAGAGCAAGCAAAGCAGATTAAGAATTCGGAAATTGTAAATTCTCCAGAAAGTTCTGAATCTCTTCTACTACAAAACTAGAGTCTAGAACAAGACTACAAAGTTTCTGGGATTTGCACAAATGGGAGCAATGCATAATTCCACTTGCAGATCTGAAAATCCGAGCCGACAGTTCACCTTTTAATAAAATGCATCTTTGAAAAGACATTTTGCAATCTAGAGCAGTGTTTCTCAACCTCAGCAATTTTAAGTTATCATGCTCCCTGGAGAATTCTGGGAATTGAAGTCCACGTATCTTAAAGTTGTCAAGATTGAGAAACACTGGTCTAGAACTTTGATTTCCCTTCTTTTTTTTTCTTTTTTTACTTACCCAACAGTCATCCGCAAAGCACACACACAAAATCAGCCCCATGATGACTGCTACGACCCCAAATGAGATTCCTAATGTTTGTGACCTGAAAGAGAGAATGAGGATTGATTTATTCAGCCTATGGCATATCACACATGGACTAGCAATATAAATTAACATTTCAGCTAGATGAATAAAAGGAAGAGGAAGGAAAGAGCAAGCAAAAGCAGATTAAGAATTCAGAAACTGTAAATTTCCCACAAAGGTCTAAATCTCTTCTACCAAAACTGGACCCTGAAGATCTGGAGTTTGTTATTCAATTGTAACTAGGATCACCCATCCCAAGCGCTTTTATTTTCTTAAGTGGCTTTTCACTATGCAAAAAATGTTTGATAAAATCACAGCTTTGGAGCAAAAAACAGATATGTAGAAAATTCTGTTTGCCTCGTGCTTTTTTTTTTTTTTTTTTGCAGATAAATCCTCCTTCAGTTGACGGAGGCTAGTAGATCAGGAGAAATTATCATCTCCATATCCTCTTTTATCAGTTTTGTAGTTAATGTTAATGTGTTACTTTCGGTGCCTAATCTTTTAATGTTCTTAACCTTTTAATGGTTTTAGAAAATTACTTATGGCATTGTAAGTTGCCCAGAGTCGCTAGATGATGAGATGGGTGGCATATGAATTTAATGAAATAAATAAATAAAATCTCTTGGCACTTAGACAATAAAGGCGCATGGAAAACCAGCACATTAAGAAGAAAGGTTTAGCCTGGGTTGCTATTTTATTTCCCCGTTACTCTATTCCTTACTACTCCGCTCTGTGACGGGGGGGAAAAATCTACAATTTTGCAGAAAAACTTGTGAGCGTGCAAAAATAATAGAGTTATGAAATAACAGAATAAGTGGCTGTCCAGACTCTTCTTCAAAACCTCCAGTGATGCAGCACACACAACCAGTATCTTGAACAGAACAGAATAACAGAGTTGGAAGGGACCTTGGAGATCTTCTAGTCCAACCCCCTGTTCAAGCAGGAGACCCTATAACCTTTCCAATGTAGCTCTGCAGGAAAAGAAGTGCTGGCCAACGTCACTGATCTAATGGGATGTGTAGACAATCCTTGGATTGATTGCATAATAAAAATAAAGACAACACTTACCATGGTATAATGCATATCTGTACTGTAAACATGCAGAGCAAAACAATGCCAGCACACACAAAATAACCCCTCAATTTGCGAATAGGAATCGTACGATACTGGAAAAAAAAGAAAAAGAAATAGGAAAGGCTTTGATATATTCATAAAAGACCATCTTTTGGGGTGACTTTGTCATGGAGAACAAAAAAAATATATAAACAGAATGAACCCTGGCATACAACCTCTTTGCTACATAACATATACAATTGCAGGTAATCCTCTTTTTGCAACCAGTCCTTTAGTGACTGTTTGGAGTTTACAATGGCACTGAAAAAAGTGACTTGTGATCGCTCCTCATACTTATGACCATTGCAGCATCCCCATGGCAACCGATATGTATTTATGATGGGTGCAGCATGCCGGATCAGCTGATCACTATTTGCAATCTTCCCAGTCAGCTTCTGACAAGCAAAGTCAATAAGGGAAGCTGGATTCGTTTAACAACCATGCGGTTCACTTAATTGCAGTGACCTGCTTAACCACCATAGCAAAAAAGGTGATAAAATCATGTATGATTCATTTAACAACGGCCTTGCTTAGCAACAGAAATTCTGGTCCCAATTGTGGCGTGTAAGTCAAGGATTAACAGAATAACAGAGTTGGAAGGGACCTTGGAGGTCTTCTAGTCCAACCCTGTGCTCAGGCAGGAAGCCCTATGCCATTTCAGACAAGTGGCTGTCCAGACTCTTCTTCAAAGCCTCCAGTGATGCAGTACACACAACCAGTATCTTGAACAGACCAGAATAACAGAGTTGGAAGGGACCTTGGAGGTCTTCTAATCCAACCCCCTGCTCAGGCAGGAAGCCCTATACCATCTTAGACAATCTCTTCTTAAAAGCCTCCAGTGTTGGAGTACCCACAACTTCTGGAGGCAGGTTGTTCCACTGGTTAATTGTTCTAACTGTCAGGAAGTTTCTCCTTAGTTCTAGGTTGCTTCTCTCCTTGATTAGTTTCCATCTGTTGCTTCTTGTTCTACCTTCAGGTGCTTTGGAGAACAGGTTGACCCCCCCCCCTATTTTTTATGGGAGTCCTTAACTATTATCTCTATACAATCCTAACAATGCTAAAGAGGCATCAGATTCCTTCAAAAAAGATAAGTAATATTCAAAGGAAAACTAAAAATATCTTTTTCTAGGACACTGCTTGAAGCTAAATGAATGGAAGGTTTTGTCTCAGCCTAAAATTCTGTAAACAGGAAACCATAAGATTACATTTTGATTTGTTAAGATTAGCTTCCTTTTCAAACGGTAAGCCCAGAGGACAACTGTTTTTGAGCTCTGAAAGATTTTAAACTGATCAAAGAGAAAAGCAACCTGGAACTAAGGAGAAATTTCCTGACAGTTAAACAATTAACCAGTGGAACAGCTTGCCTCCAGAAGCGGTGAATGCTCCAACACTGGAAGTTTTTAAGAAGAGACTGGACAGCCATTTGTCTGAAATGGTATAGGGTTTCCTGCCTGAGCAGGAGGTTGGACTAGAGGACCTCCAAGGTCACTTCCAACTTTATTATTATTATTATTATTATTATTATTATTATTATTATTATTATTATTATTATTATTATTATTATTATTATTATTATTATTATTATTATTATTATTATTCCTCCAATGTCCTACAAACCTCTTTTTCCAGTCCTGTTTCGACAAAGCACAGCAAAAAGCCACACAGTCCACGGAAATCATCTTTTTTACCGCACCATGGTCTGCATGAAGGAAAAGAAAGCAGAAACTGTTACGCACCAAGTGTGAAATTCTAATTATTTTAAGTATTCGTCTGTCAAAAAATCAGGCTATTATTAAAAAGACACGCAAGTATTTTGGAATTCAGACAAATAAAGGAAAACACAACACAGAGCAATAAAAAGGGGAAAGGATATAAAACGTTCCACATTGTGTTTTACGACCTCCAGTCAAAACTGGATAAAAGGTGGAATATTGTCCTAAAGGATTAAGTAGTTCTGAATGAGGGTTTCACCGGTTCCTGCATCGCAGAACCAAAATGTATTTCTTAGAATTATCTAGTCTCAATGGCGCCTTTCTAGTTGCTGCATTGTCTCTGAAGTTAAGACTTAATTTTGCTTTAAGTGCTTTTAAAAGCTTGTAACACTAAACCTTCTCATTAGCATCTAGCACAGAGAGAATTTTAGATGAAAGGTTGAAGCCAATTTAGAATTCCAGAAATGAACTACAATATTAAAGAGTAACTGGCTGTCTTTAAACCCAGTCTTGGCCACATCATCCTGTCATACAGCATCACAGTCTGCTTTGGAAGCATCCCTGCTTCAGACAGGAAGGCGGTGCAGAGAGTGGTGAGGACGGCAGAAAAGATTATTGGCAGTTCCCTCCCTCCCATCCAGGCAGTGGCATATAAGCGTTGCTTGAGCAGGGTCTGCAAGATTGTCTGGGACACGACACATCCTCTCCACAACCTGTTTTCCTTGCTACCTTCTGGGAGGAGGGGGCTCCGTGGTATCCGAAGCAGAACATCCAGATTCAGCCACAGCTTTGTTCCATACAAGTATTAACCTTGTGAACTCTCAAACTTCCTCCTTCCATTATGTATTCAATATGGACAGTGATTAATATTTTTATGTTACTTATATGTAAGGGTGTAGGTCTATACATATGTTGTATATAGTATGTTGCTTGTGTATGTGTATACTTTGAGAGCAAGCAACTAAATTTCATTTTTAATGTGTGCCATTGTGCCCACAGGAAAAAGTGATAATAAATCTATTCTATTCTATTCTATTCTGTTCTGTTCTGTTCTGTTCTGTTCTGTTCTGTTCTGTTCTGTTCCGTTCCGTTCCGTTCCGTTCCGTTCTAGTCTAGTCTAGTCTAATCATGTTTTTTTTGCAGCGATGAATCCAAAATAACACAGGCAGTCCCCAACTTACAACACATTCATTTACCACTGAAAAAAATGACTTCCAGTCAGTGCTCCCACTTATGACCATCCTGGTGACATGATCAAAATTCGGGCACTTGACCAACCAGCGTGTATTTAGGAGGGTTGACGCATCCCCGAGTCATGTGGTTGTTGTTTTCAACCTTCCCAGCTGGCTTCCAACAAGACAAGCCAATGGGGGATTCACTTAATGACCCTATGATTCATTTAACGACTGCAATGATTCACATAACAACCGTGACAAAAAAAGGTCGTAAAATTGAATGTGACTCATGAACGCCTTGCTTAGTGACAGAAATTCTACTCAAAATTGTGTCGTTAAGCCGAGGACTGCCTATAAAAACTACGCTAAGCTGCAGGGCATCCGAGAATGAATCAAGAATATTTTTGTAACATTTCCTTTAGAAGGAATTGAAGGAGTGGTGGGATTCAGATAGGTGAACAACCGGTTCTCTGTGTGGATGCCGCTTCTGGAAGTCCATTCTGGGCCTGGGCAACGAAAAATTAGCTACCGGCTCTGCCGAAGTGGTGTGAACTGGCTGAATCCTACCACTGAATTGAAGATCTACCAGATGAACCGGCTACAGACAGCCCAGGCAAGCCCAAGATGAACAGATGACACCTTTTTTTGTTGTTTTTTTACTAAAAACAGAGAAGGAATCTCTTCTCCTATCTGCAAGAGGCGTGATTCTGTTTTCTTACTTGGCTGAACTCAGGCCCTCAATGGTCGACATCATTTTATCGTTAATTTCTTCTTCCATTCTTCCTTTCTGAGAGGTATTTCTAAAAGAAACAAAAGAAAAAAATGTCATTATTAAAAAGGATTCCTTCCAAACATTCAGAAAAATGACTAGGATGGGAGGTGAACCTCCAATGTTCCCTAGAAGCTCACCTCCCAAGCTGGAGAACAGAAATATTAAAAAGTGGTCCAATTTGGTCCACTTGGATATAGAGAAATAGAAATTAGAGTTGCGAAGAGACAGAGATTTAGCCTGTATTAAACTACAGTAAAGATGCTCCCTTATCATCCAAAAATTATACAAGGCTGGAATGGTTGCTGAACAGATTTGTGCAATTTTGTGGCTTGTGACACTAAAGCAAGAAAATTCTCCAATTGGATTCACATTCATAACTCGGTTTGTTTGGCAATGGCTAAGCATGACACGGGAGCTCAGTTAAGGAGTTCATAAAACCATGATTTATGGCTTAGCTTGCTGTATGTGAATCCAGCCACTGTTGTCTTTTTCATCTGTCAGAGAGGATATCAACTGACTTTAGAGCAGGAGTGTCCAACTTTGGCAACTTTAAGATCTGTGGACTTCAACTCCCAGAATTCCTCAGCCAACCTTATTGGACCTCAAGTTGCCAATGATGGACACCCCTGCTTTAGGAAGAGGTGAAATGAGAAATTACCAGGAAAATTACCAGCACACTGGGGGGGGGGGAAGCAACAATCAGTGAAAGTAAAAGAGGAAGAAAAACTCACTTATAGGTTAGAACAGAAGGAGGACATAACTGGTGTGGTCTAGATCCATCCCAACTAACAGACAGATAGAGAAAGAGAAAGGAAAGGTTGATGGAACACATTAGATTATTAGATCCAGGCCAATAATTAGCAAATCAATTAAAACATTTTCCTCAAAATCACAGCAACAGCAATCTCTTCTGGGATACTTGCATTCTCCCGAAGGAACCTTAAATTATTTTGAAAAAAGAAAAGCCTTATGTCCCTTCTTTAAAAAGTTTGAAGGAGCCAATTTAAAAATGTAAGAATCAATTAAAACATAACTAGTTTATGCTGTTCAAAAGCACATAAAGCAATAACCAGAAAACATGTACATGGCTGTGTTACCTGTCCATGTTTGTTTTACTTTGGCAAGACACAGTAGGTAAAACATTACATTTGGCATCAGCAGAACTTCATGTCTGTCTGTCTGTCTGTCTGTCTGTCTGTCTGTCTGTCTGTCTGTCTGTCTGTCTGTCTGTCTATATCTATCTATCTATCTATCTATCTATCTATCTATCTATCTATCTATCTATCTATCTATCTATCTATCTATCTATCTCTATATCTGCTGCTGCCAAGAGAGGCATTTGTTAAGTGAAATTTGCCCCATTTTACGAACTTGTTAAGTGAATCACGGCAGTTGTTAAGTTAGTAACATGGTTGTTAAGTGCTCTCTGACTTTGGTTCTTTTCTTGCAGACATTTCATTACCCAGCTGTGTAACATCATCAATGCTAGGAGGGAGTGGGGTTTGTGGGAAGGAGGGAGGAAGAGTGGTAGGGTCCTTTGTGCTCTGTGAGTTTGGTTGGGTTTTTTGCAGACATTTCACTACCCAACTAGGTAACATCATCAGTGCTAACAACTAAGCCCGGAGAGCACCAAGGACCCTTGCAGTTCAATCCTGAGCTACAGATTTTCTCTTCTCTTGGTGATCGTCTGCTAAACTTCTCTTCCAGGGGGAGAGTTTGGCGTTTATATAGATCAGGGGTAGGCAACCTTGGCTCTTTTATGACTCGTGGACTTCAACTCCCAGAATTCCTGAGCCAGCAGGAATTCTGGGAGTTGAAGTCCACGAGTCATAAAAGAGCCAAGGTTGCCCATCCCTGATATAGATTCTCCTTTAATTGCATTGCACATGCTGGTCTTTGATCTTTCTCCTTCCTTATAAAGCGCTTTACAGGCTGGAAGATTAAGAAAAGGTACTGAAGCAAGGTCTTAACCAGGCAGTAAAGAAGGAGATGGAACTTGCCTCTCCGAGGTCCTCTGACGACTTGCGAGTTGCAGGGCTATCTCCTAAGCAAGGGGAAAGCATGGAGAAGAACATTTTACTTTTTAAAGAAGCAAATAATGCATATAGATTTTGTACTCTAAATATGACGGGTACCCATAAATAAGGGTGATCTAGACTCAATTCTCCAGAAGAGAAAAAGTATCATAAATGGTTGGGAGCTGCTATAATGCCACCTTCAAAAATAGGAGGAGAACAAGGGCAAAAGCCTTATGACCTCTACAAAACTGCTCAGCGGATGTTTTCCATCCTCAATCTTTGCAGCTCTTTGATGCAAAATTATGAATTTAACTTATATCCATTACAAATGGGAAACACACTCACTGTAGGAGGAGAGCCAGAACCTGGGGATGGAGTTAAAAGAGGGAATCAGCCTAGAATCCCTACATAGCCACAAGCAAAATAAATACAACCACCCTTGAATTCCGTTGACCCCTATCTAATGCCAAGCAGCGGCTAACTTTAGTTGAGAAGATTCCTGGGCATAGGCATGAGTAATTGCAATAAATCAGTTTAATAGGACCTTCGCACGTGGACTTGTTCTTTCATACCTGACAATGACAGGTATGAAAAGGAATGTGTTCCTGAATAGCCATTTTTCAATTCCTTGTTTTCCTGTTCATGAGAAACCTCATGCTTGCTTCCATATCTCATCAAAGGACTTGGGAAGACAATTTCGAAGAACATACAGCCAAGATTTACCTTCCTGCGTCTGCGGTTGGGCGCAGAAGTCTCACTGCTCACACTCTCTCGATGGTTGAGGTGAGAAAAAGGACGAGCTGCACCCCAGGATTCCAAGTATCGTGACATCCGGACAGAGGCTCTCATCTTTAAGCCATCCTGCACTCTGGATTGAGGGAAATGATTGTTGGTGGCACGCTGTTTTGACTAATGAGAGAGGGAGAGAGAGAGAGAGAGAGAGAGAGAGAGAGAGAGAGAGAGAGAGAGAGGGAGGGGGAGAGAGAGAATATAAATTATTACATTGGGCACATTATTTATTTTATCTTCTGGAGTCCTTAGTGCCTCTCTGAACTTGGTTGTTCTTGCAGACATTTCATGACCCAACTCAGTTACATGATCAGTGCCGGTGAGTGTGAGGTTTACTCCCTGCTTATATACCATAGACTGCCCCGCCGGTGTTGGTGGGGATGTGGTTTTTCTCCTCAGTAGTTCCTTGATTAGGTATTGTTTTCTGCTAGATTGTTTGTCTGGGATTAATCCTTGCTTATAAAGGTGTTGGTTGCTGGAGAAGACGTGTTCTAGTCTTTTGGTTTCCTTCTTAGCTTTTCAAAATTGTCTTTTTGAATGGCGTGTAAATGGTGTTTATCTCTGTATTCGTTGATGGCTGATTTGTCTGAATGCCAAACTTCCAGGAATTCCCTACAATTTTTGGATTTCACTTGGTTTCAGATGTTCAGTTTTCCAGTTGAAGCTATCTTTGAGCACTAGCCCTGATGATGTTACCTACTTGGATAATGAAACGTCTGCAAGCTAACAACCAAACTCAGAAGGCAGAATTCAGTTTTGGAGCTATATTCTCTTCTATTGGATTTTACATTCTATAGGCTTAGTTGCTGCTCCAAAGGCTGACTTTGAGCACTTCATAGTCCCACTATGGGTAAACAGGATTAAAAGAACTAAAATAAAACCCAGAAACCAGTTAATAGCAAGCATTAACCTCCACAAATTGTAAGTGGTAATGGGTTCGTGGGTCTTTACCCAAAAAAAAACCACTTTTATCCAATTTTGAGTAATTTAACCTGGCTTGGGAAGCACTGCTCTAGAAGAATGTAGTCTGTGCAGGGTTATTAATTTGGAACTGTGACTGCTTGTTGTCTGCTATGTTCTGTAAAGTAGCACTAATAGCCTTTATTAATGAAAATATCTAAGGCAAACAGGTTGCCATTGGCCTTGGACTTATGTCAGAGCTGTAGAAATTGCTGAAAAACAGAGGGGGAAAAAAAAAAAAACCCCGAATCTCTTTTGTAAGCCGAGCAAAGCAAACGAGGAGTGTTCATTGTGCAACGGCTTTTATTTAAAACAAAAACAAAAAAAAAAACCAGTTCTTCTCAAAATGCTGGTAGAACTGCACTTAAAGCAAGGGTGGGAGTTTGAGGGCCTACTCTGTTTAATTACACACATTTAAAGAACAAACGTTCTGGATTCCTGAAGGGCTCCGTGGAGATCAAAATTTAAAAGCCATTGTTTCACGGGGATCCGTGGTTCATGGCAACTGAATGTCGAATACATTCTCCCTCTCCTTTTCCAAGCGCACGCAACCAAAATAAAACCTCCTGGCTTGCAGGCTTCAGTTTAGTTCAGCTTTTGATACCTCACCTGACCCTCATTATGCCCAATTTCTGTACAACAGACCTGGTTACAATCACAACACATAATAAAGATTCCCCCCCCCCCCAAAAAAAGGAGGACGAGGAAGCAAGCAGAGAGCCGTGGGTTTGCAAAATATAACCGTAGGCCACCTGATCAAAGGCAAGCTTGGTGTCAGCAGAAGAATACATATATTTAGACAACATCACTCAACTGTATTTTTAGATTAGGCTTATTTAGCTCCTCTCTGCATACTTCTGTTTCTTTTTTTCTGTTTCTTTTCAGCTTTCTATTTTGCACGGACATGCTACAGACACTCAGATGTGGCTGAATAACCTAAAACGAAGTGTGCAGCCTTGACTTTTTCACTTTTGCAACCACCGACTTCGGCATGCCTCCAGAAGCAGTGGGTGCTCCATCACTGGAGGTTTTTAAAAAGAAATTGGACATTTGTCATTTGTTCAAAATGGTATAGGGTCTCCTGCTTGAGCAGGGAGATGGACTAGAAGACCTCCAGGGACTTCTTTGGAGAAGATGGATTGATTATATATGAAAAGTATTATTTAGCTTAATATGGCTGAATATTATTTTTAGTTCTACGATTTAATTATAATATTATTTTGAGATGTTATAGATAGAAGAAGTATAAGATTGAAAAGTATTATTTAGCTTTTGATTATGATTTAATTATAACATTATTTAGAGATTTTATAGATATAGATGAACTAGGAGATTGAAAAGTATCATTTAGCTTATGAGTGAATTTAAGATTATTATTAATACCTAGTTTAATAGGGTTGAATATTATTTTGAATTTTATGGTTTAATTATATTATTATTTTGGTTGTTAATTAGGTATATTATTATTTTTGTTAATTGGTTAATACTTATTTTGAAAGGGAGTTAAAGTATGTTATGGATTTAACTGCTAGTATAGTTGGGTAATGTTATTTAGATTATGATTGTTTATTTGTACCCTGTAATCAGCTCTGGGAAGTGGGGGTGGGAGGGGAGGGTGGGGAGGAAGGGGGGACATATATTGTAAAAAAATTTAAAGTTCTTAATTAAAAAAAAAAGACCTCCAGGGACTTTTCCAACTCTGTTATTCTGTAATTCTATAATTCTCGCTGGTCATTTCTTTATTATAGGCATTGACCAACATGGCATTTAGATGGTCTTCTCCTATCTTCCCTAAAGGCTCCAGATCCTTTTGTCCCTCAGCTTTCCATGCGGGGTTTCTCAAGATGCCAATCGTTTCTTCAATTATTCCAGATGTGAGGCTTCAGTTCCTTCCTTTCTATTTCCCATCAATTATCTTGGCTGTCTGCCCAACAACTTCGTAGCTTGCTTTCACAACGCCTGTATGAAATGCTTAATTACCTCTGAGTGATTCCCCTATTCGTGCTAGCAACCTTTTTTTCCTGAGCAATTCATAGCTGGATTAGTTCACACACCACCACTCTTCCTCAGTGTTTCTCAACTTTGGCAACTCTAAGAGGTGTGAACTTCAACTCCCAGAATTCCCCAGCCAGCCTTGCTGGCTGGGGAATTCTGGGAGCTGAAGTCCACACCTCTTAGAGTTGCTAAGATCTAAGAAACACTGATCTATGCCATTGTACTGGTTTGCATGTTTTTAGTTTTCCACCAGTGCAAACTCAACTATTTGTGAGCGGCCCAATACATCATGTTAAACCATGACACAGCATGACACGTGTGAAACAAGGGAGCCACTCATAGGGTGTGTGGGTTTTCTTTTTCTTTTTACATCCAAGAATGCCTACCCTGGGGTCAATCACCAAATAACTCTTGATGTTCATGGTTTCAAGATAGGGATCCCGGAGATGCCCGTTTCCTTCTTCCACCTCATAAGCTTTGCCGAGATGATTGAGGGTTGCTTCCGTGATGTGCACGCGGCTGCAAAGAGGACGGAGAGAGACAGGTGGACAAAAGGCTGAAATGTTTGCAGAAACGCCATTCCCAGGAATCGATTACCATTACAATGGCTGCTGCCGATAACTCTCTGCTGCCACACATTTGGCAGCCAAAATCAAGATTCCTGGCAGGATGGCTCTTGAACAGCTCAGCTGGATAGCATGATAGAGCATCCAGTCATGCCAATTCACATAACTTTGTGCAGTGTTTGCTACTGTTTTCAGAGAGAGAGAGGGGGGAGAGGGAGGGGGAGACAGAGGGAAGGAGAACAAGAGAGAGGGAGAGAGCAAGAGCGAGAAAGCGAGGGCGGGAGGGAGGGAAGGAGAGAGAGAGGGAGGAAGGGAGGGAGGGAGGGAAAGAGGAAGGGAAAGGGAGAAGGAGAGGGAGAGGGAAGGAGGGAGGGAGAGGGAGGGAGCCTCCCTCTTACTCTCACTCCCTCTCTCCTCTCCCTCCCAGAGGGAGAGGGAGAGGGAGAGGGAGGGACAGAGAAAGGGAGGGAAGGGGAGAGAGAGGGAGGGAGGGAGGGAGGGAGGGGGAGAGAGGGAGGGAGATGGAGAGGGAAGGAAGGAGGGAGGGAGCTTGATTGTTTTCTTGCAGACATTTCATTACCCAAACTACGTAACATCATCAGTCCTCTAAATACCTTATTTCAACCCCGAGCTGCAAATATTCTCCTTTATTGGGTGTTTGGTTCACACATCACAAACCACAGTACACTTTATTCATTTGGATCCCCTTTGTTCTCTGACCCGTGCATAATTCTGGTTTATTTAACAAGCTATACTTCGGCATATCATGCAAACCCAAGAGGAGAGGCGGAGGGGGGGAGAAGCAAAGGAAGGCGCTGAATAACAATGGAACAAGGTCTGAGGAGGGTGTCATAATTCTGGCTCACCCTCGTGACAGCCCCTCTTTCTTCGTGTAGTCTTCTTGGGAAAGTGCAATTAGAAGCAGGAAAGAAAAGACTACATAAATGTCATGAGTTCCTTCAAGGGAGAAGAGGATACACATAAAGGAAGCCACAGTTACCAGCACAAAGGATTGGATAAAATATAATACAGTAGTTAGAAAATAGTAGACTTCCTTGTCACATGAGTCTTTGATCTGAAGAATAGACCAGGCCAGTTTGGAAGAAGATTGCATTTCTGGGAAGGTCCTTCAGCATGTTCAGTGACCAAACAATTAAACTAAATAAAACAGCAGTCCCCACGCATGGTTGACGGATATAAGGTCTTCTTAAATATCTGGGGCTAAGAGGGCCTACAGGTAGACCCACACATCCAACATCCTCCAGCATCTCACCACTGTTCCTCGCCACCCTCAGCATCTACTACCAAAAGCAACCGTTTCACATGGTCTCTATGCAGGATCAGTATCAGGTGCAAATAACCAGGAGTATTCATTGGAGACAAAGTAGAGAAGAGTTTATTGTTGCTTACCTAAACCCAAGAATCCAGTCAACTAATGGTTGATACTAAATTGGTGCTAGATAAAAGTCAACGGAATTCATGGGTGGGCTGGATTTGAGTCTCTTGTGGCAACACAATGACTCCAAACTAATGACAGGCTTAACTCCGCCTTCTAACTCTGCCTGCTCTTCTACAGTCAGCCTTGTTTATTTTCTCGCTTTTCTCTGCTTTTCTTCCTCTTTCCCTCAATTCCCCAATACAGTAGAGGTTTCAGCTGTTAAAAGCACCCTTCTTGCTTTTCCCCCACTATGTTTGTCTACTTGGCAATATTGCTCTGATGAGTACCGTCCCTTTCAACAAAGGAGACGAACGTAGTGCCCATCAAAGTGATTACTACGTGCTTAGCACAGAGGCACTCTCAAGACAGGGTGCCAAATGGCCCATTGTGTTTTCAACTGGAAGAAGACTTCATTCAATTTTAATTCAATTTTAGACCGAGAGCACTTTTCTTTCATCTCCTACCTTGCTTAAATAACTTCTGAGTGCCTCACACTCTACGCCCTTCTCCAAGAGTTTACTCAGCTGGCTTGCACTGAGGGTTTTCAGGAAGCTTTAAAACATGCGCTGAGCAGGACCGCTTACTTAGTAATACACACACACACACCCCAAAGCACTTTCCAATGTTACGGAAAGAAAAGAGCAAATGCCATTGTGGGATTATTTGTACTTTTCTACAAAACAGGAACTGTTGACCTGAGAGGAACCAATGAAGACTAACAATAGATCTCAGCCTCAGTTGAGATAATGGAGGAAGCAGAATGCCAATATTGTTTGATTTTGCCCCAGCACCCAACAATGTGTCATGCTATCATTTATTTGAGATTTTATCAGCTAGCTGGTGAATCAATAGGACCTTTGGTCTTCAAAAGCTTCAGTCTAGAAGACTCCAAGGTCCCTTCCTACTCTGTGATTTTGTTATTCTGTTATTCAGCCAAGTTTACTCATTCATTCATTCATTCATTCATTCATTCATTCATTCCTGGGAATAAAACACAGAGCAGCAGGGAAAACTACTTAGGGCTCCCTCATTCCTAAGACCAACCCTCAGATCTAAAAACAGATGAAGGATGATACAAAGAGTTTTGAATTATCCCTCCGGTTAAGATACTGTATATAAAAACTTAGCGGTGGAATTTAGTTCTTTTTTCTCTTTTGTGGGCAAACAGTTGTGTTTTCAAAATATTCTCTGCCTCTCATAGTGCAGGGAAGTGTTTTTAAAGATAAGAGTTTGTTCAATTAAATGGCCACGTTCTGGCTTTGCAGTTTTCTGGTTTCATCCAGAACAAGCAAGACGTTGGCAGATATGCAATCATAACTCCAGGGAAAGACTCAGAGTGAAATAGTTTATTCTGCGATTATGTCCTGAAACTAACGTGCCTTTCCTTCTGAAAAGCCACACACTGAGCTATGGCAACTATAAAGCAGGTGTCCAGGTACACAAAGAAGGTGATGTTGCACTTACAGGAATAGCCAGCAAACAGGTAAGCTCATGTACCAGAAAGAATCAATAATCAATCCATCTGGTGCCATAAAAGTGACTAAAAATAAACTCCCTTGTTGCCTCTTTCAGAGACTAAAATACTGTTAACAAGGATGGAAATGATTCTGCAGACCCAGGAAAATATTTACAAAGCAGTTCCATCAGTTACAAGATATCCTGAGGTCTCTTTTGCAGCTTTCCAGGCCCTCCATAGTAAAGACACACATCTTACTAGCCAGAATCCAGGTTAGCAACTCTGAGTATATTATGGAGACAATTGTGATTTTTATCAGGTGGTGAATGGCAACCAAAGCTGAGAATTCACTAAACAGAAGAGGGAGGGAGGAAGGGAGGGAGGGAAGGAAGGAAGGAAGGAGTTGAATTCAGCTCTTTATCAATTGCTTACCAAGTTGTGCATCCCCCAACATACACTCATACATTAAAACCTGGTTTAGAAATCACATCAAACAATTGGGGTTCACCCAACAGACTCAGCAGGATAGAGAACCTACAGCCTACCAGGGGCCCCCAACATGTCAGGACGGCACTGCTCAAAATTGAAAGTATCTCTCTGCATAGTTTTCATGCAAAAGTAAGAATTGGAATAAAAGCAGCTTACTTCCTAAAAGCCTTCTGGTTCCATTCTCACACCCACAAACCAGGAAAAGTGGCCAGACATCCCATTCTGAAAATTGGCAACGAAGAGTGAGGGCAAATGTTGGGCTATGTTTGCACTAGAGCAGTGGTGGCGAACCTATGGCACGCGTGCCAGAGGCGGCACTCAGAGCCCTCTCTATGGGCACGTGTGCCATGCCCCGGAGATGGCAACTGCCCTTCTTCAACCAGCTGCCCGCTAACTCGCCGAGGTCCACATGGCTGGATGCATCCCAGCATGGATGGTTTCCCTCCCCCCCATCCCATCCCTCCTGGCCTCGCATGCTCTCTTTTTTAAGGGCATGACCCACTGCATCGCCTCTTCAGCTGTCAGCTGGCCGTCCAGCTCAGAGGCGGCTTCTCTAAACTGCTGGCGGCAGGCTGCGGAGCCCCAGAGTGCACCAGTCGAGGGGCTGGCAGGCTGTGGCTGCTGATGGACACTGTCGGCCCCCATGCGCTCGCTGGCCTCTGTGTGCAGGGGCCGATGGTGTCAGGCAGCAGCCACCTCAGCCCCTGCCTCACCTTGCCTTGTGACAATGGCACCCCCGCCCTGCCTCGCCTCACCCCGCAGGATAGAGCCTCCTGCCCACCGCCCCACCTGCCAGAGACCCCCTGGATCTCCCCCAACCCTGCCCAGCCCCCACAAGCATCCCTCCCCATGAGCAACATCGAGGTGACCACGCTCACCTTGGCCACACCCACCCAGTCTGCCACAACCACCACAGGCATACCCACCCAATGGGCCATGCCCACCTGGCACCCAGCGATAAACAAGTGGGTTTGGGGTTGCAGTTTGGGCACTCGGTCTCTAAAAGGTTTGCCATCACTGCACTAGAGGAAAGAGTTAGGGGCACTTTGCTTCCCAATCATGACAAAGAACCCAAAATATCTCCTCCTGATTCTTGCTCTAATGCCA